ATCAGTAAATAAACACAATAAGCCGATTTTGTCCTCATTTTGGAATTTTCTTGTCCTTAATGTTACATTACTGCGATAATCTTGTTTCACAGGATATGGAGGATGGTAAGTTTCATCAGGATCATCAGTTTCATACTCACTTGAGTCCTCATTTTCACCTTGTGTATGTAAGTCTTCACCAGACATCACAGGTGCAGAAGTGGGTAACTCCTCGGTGTTCATTTTGTCTTTCTGACTGCCCAAGTTGGACTCTCTTGTGAACCAGAGCTGGTAGTGGATGCTTGACTGTCTTTTACTGGAACATAAGTTTCACAATCAATTAGTACACTGTTAGTCTCATCACAGTTTTCAATGAAGGCAGCATCTCTACTCTTGACAACTTTGTGTGATTTAGGGTCCATAAAAGATATCCCTTTGTATTATTGCAATAGCCCACAAATATCATTTTTACTGACTTCTTATCCCACTTTTGACGTTTTTCTTTTGGTGTAAGAACCATAGCTTCAAAGCCAAATATTTTCATATGAGATAAGTTGGGTTTCTTACCTTTCCACATTTCATGTGGGGTTTTACCTTGTAGTGACTTTGTCGGGGAACGATTTACAATATATGCAGCTGTTGCCAGAGCTTCGGCCCAGTATTTCTTCTCTAGGTTAGCATAAAATAGCATACACCGTGCTCGTTCAACTAAAGTCCTGTTCATTCTTTCCGCCGTGCCATTCTGCTGTGGAGTATACGGAGTAGAGGTCTGATGAATTATACCATGGTTAGATAAGTACTTTTCAAAGTTTACATTGCAGTATTCGGTGCCATTATCAGTTCGAAGTTTTGTTATCTTATGATTCAATTCATTCTCTACTTTCAACTTGAAATCTTTAAATGTCTCTAAAATATTAAACTTATCTTTCAGGAAATAGACAAAGATCATTCGTGTGTAGTCATCAATATAAGTGATAAAGTATCTCATACCTCCAAATGAGGTATTCTCCATGGGGCCACACATATCAGAATGTATTAGTTCCAATGGCCTTGTAGCTCTTGAACCAACATTTGTGAATGGCATCCTTGCTTGCCTACCTTCCATACAGTGAATGCATGTGACATTATTTTGTTCCTGAGTCAGAGTCACACCATCGGTACAACTGGGTAGCTTCTTTACAGCTGAAATGTTCAAATGGCCCATTCGCAGGTGCCACAGGTAAGTTTTGTTACTATTCTGAGAACTGGAGGCTAAATGTGCAACTTCGTTAGTGGTATCTATGACATGTAACTTGTTTTTCAATGTTGCAGTGCATACAACTTCCTTTCCATTTCGAACTTCACAACCCTTGTCATTGAACTTAACCCTGTGTCCCTTGCTCGCAATGGTGCTAACTGAAAGCAGATTGACAGCTAGTCCTGGAACATACAAAACATTGTTAACTTGTATCACTTTATCTTGACCTGTGTGTATATCAACACTACCAACTCCTTTCACGGCTAATGGCTCTCTGTTAGCTACAGTAACATTTTTTATAGATGGCTCGGTGACATTATAAAGCCAATCCTCTCTGCATGTCATATGAATGGATGCGCCTGAGTCAAGAAACCACTTATCATAACAGGTGTTATCTTTAATTGTTACTGAGAAAGCTGATACAAAATTGGAGTTCTCTCCTTTGTTTGTTGGCTGTTTCCTGGGCTGTCTGCAATATTTTGCAAAATGGCCAATTTTGTTACAATTGTAACACCTTGGTCCCTTTGTTTTGACCGATTGCACTTCATTTTTAGTCTTCTTAGTGTTACTGAAGAAAGCCGTTGACTTTGATGTGTTAATCTCTTGTATGAGTTTAGATTTTACTGAGTCAGCATTTATTTGAATACCGGAGCTCTCTAATCCCATGATCATTGGCTTGTATTCGTCTGGTAAGCCTGCCAACAGTAAAGTACCAAGCCACTCATCGTTAACATCAAAACCAATATTACGCAGTTTGTGTGCAGTGTTCATAATTTTACTTACATAGTCTTCAACACTATTGCTCGACTCCAGTGTAGTATTTATAAGATCTTTGAGTAGACCCACTCTTCTAGTTAAGCCATTGTCATCAAAAGCCTTTTGCAAATTCTCCCATACTTGTTTTGCAGTCTTGCATTCCTGAACTTGTACGTAATTCTGTGGGTCCAACAACAATATAAGTTTCGACTTCGCCTTGACGTCTTTAGTAGAATCCACAGGTTTGTCATCGGGGCGTTCGACACAGCACCACAAATCCTCGTGTTCCAAATATGTTTTCATACTGAATTTCCACGTTGCAAAGTTTTCTCTTCCGATCAGTTTCTCCAAATTAAACATATTGGAACCCATCTTATTGGATTTCTTTAACAAATTAAGAAATTTACAACGTGATCGTAAATTTTTCTTAACCTCAAATTCAAATTGCACCGACAATTTTTACTGATTGAAGTCAATTTTCTTCTCTGATATTTCTAAGGTACCACACCGGAACCACGCTCTGCTACCATGAAGGAGTATAATCGTAGTTGTGGTAAATAATTAAAGCTTTTTAATTACAATCAGTTTTATTGAGATCTTACAACGTGACGAGCGAAAAACGAAAGAGGACATTAATACACACAGGCGCCGCACGCGCTTAAAACAAAAACTAATTTGGTTGCGTTCCAATTCACACTAACATTACTGTTGTGAAATGAAATAAAAATTTTCCTTTTCAAATATAAAACAATAAAAAAATCTTCATCTTTTAATCACCAAACGAAATGTTACATAAAACGAAGCCTGGTGACGAAACGGAGTCCACCGGGTTTACTAGTCTCATTATACAATAAAAATAAACGCTCACATCTCGTCTGCCCGTGATCACGGTTGCTGAAAAGTAGCCGAAACGTCGGGAGTATGTAGTTTTTATCAAAAATCAAGTCGCGTAGTATATCCGAAAAATATTAGTTTCATTTACAATAAAATGAGTTCAATACACACATTAATACGTATAATATTGGGTTGTTCGGAAAGTCATTTCGTTTTTTTGCGGAACATGAAAGATAGTTTTCGTATAATGAATAAATATTTTATTAAATTATATATTGGCCATTCTGGTCCAACACCTTTTGCCAGCTTTCTGGCAGTAACATAATTTCCCTCTCATAAAAGTTTTGGTCCTTGCTGACAAAAAACTGGTTCAGTTGGTTTTTGACATCTTCATTTGAAGTAAAGGTTTTGCCATCCAAAAAATTTTGCCGGGACCGGAACAAATAGTAGTCGGAAGGCGCCAGATCTGGAGAATATGGTGGATGTTGCAATACGTCCCATTCAAGCTGTAAAAGTTGTTGGCGAGTGTTCAAACTTGTGGGAGGACTCGCATTATCCTGGTGGAATACTACACCCTTCCTGTTGATTAATTCAGGCCTCTTCTCTTTAAGTGAATTATTCAATTTGTCCAGCTGATGACAATAGACATCTGAATTAATCGTTGTATTGTCCGGCAAAGCCTTAAAAAAAAAAAACGATTCCTTTGGCATCCCACCAAACGGAGAGCATCACCTTTTTTTGGTTAATGTTGGCTTTTGACACACTTTTAGCCGGTTCATCTTTTCTGCTCCATTACCTCTTGCGTTTAACATTGTTGTATACAACCCATTTTTCATCCCCAGTAATAATCCGCTTCAAAAATGGATTATTTTCTTGACGTTTGAGGAGCGAATCACACGCGTCAACGCGACACAAATTTCGCTCCGTAAGGTTATGGGGCACCCTTTCAAATGGCCATAAACGGCCAAAATGACAAATTTAATCTCTTACCGATCTCGTGTGGTTATTCGCAGATTTGCATCGACTAATGCCTTTATCGCATCTTTGTCAGCTTCGACTGGCCTGCCAGACCGTGGTGCACCTTCGACATCAAAATTGCCGGATCGAAATTTTGGAAACCAGTTCTGGCACTGGCGTACTGTTAACACAACTTCTCCATACACATCCGTCAATTTTTTTCTCGCTTGGATAGCATTTTTACCTTTTCTGAAGTAAAAAAGTAAAATATGACGAAAATACTGCTTATTGCTCTCCATATTTAAAAGGGCACTGTATATTTCTTATACACTGGTGCCAAATTAAACGATTAATACTTTATAAATTGGTTTAATATAAGAGGTGTGTACAGCGTTGCGATCGGAGAGAGAATAGACAGTGACAATTGATAATTAATAAAGATCATCCTTTTAACAAGAAATATTATACGACGTTAGTTTACTAATAGTGTTGCCATTATAAAAGATCAAGAGCAAACAGAAAGGTAAAATTAATAAATTATACAAAATTAATTATGTAGGCGTTATGCGCCGCAACATCCTCCCGGCCGTTGAAAGACTACTTTCAACTCTTGAGATCCTCCGCCGTGGGAAGCTTGCACAGTCGAGTAAATGGCCGACGAACACAACCTCTAATTGTATCAATATCTGCAACTCTTGATATCCCATCAGCTCCGGGATATAGCTTCAAAACACGTCCCAAACGCCAGCTCATAGGGGGTACGTTGTCTTCAGCTAGCAGCACCATATCTCCAATGTTAAGTGTAGCAGAGTTGCTTCTCCATTTTGTTCTTTGCTGCAATTCTGATATGTACTCCTTTTTCCATCTTTGCCAAAAATGCTGCCTTATCATTTCGAGTCGTTCATAGCGGTTATGTAAACCTTCGCTGCAGTTATCTGTGGCTGGCACGGGCAATGCAGTCAATGGCCTTCCAATGATAAAGTGACCTGGGGAGAGGGAGAGAAGGTCATTAGGACAGGACGATAAAGGACACAAGGGACGACTATTGTTATTGTTATTGTTATAAGATATACACTAAGATCAAGATTCAAGTTGGCATGTCCTTTCTCTCTGATATGGGAAGCAACCTTATCCATTCTCTTCGCGACCTCAAGCTCCGTGTTGGTCATAGTTTGCTCTTTAATATATGGGAGAACATTGACACTCAGGGACTTTTCCATGCATACTTGCATTAATCTCATTTCGTACTCTGCTTACAAAAAACTCGTCCTTTTACACTTAGCTCTCGTTCCTTTCTGCACAATTGTACTATGTCATCTCTTAGATGGTTGTAATATAAGCTCTCTTGATCGGAAATCTTCTTGGCAAGCTCGCCCTCATCCCCTTTGAGATATCGCGCTAAAACTCTTGGTTCAAAATGTGTCGAACTTCTCGGCTTTCTTTGGTTGTATAAGTTCATAAAGGCACACTGGTCGTATGGTCTGAACCACTCTTCTCTTGGAGGAGAACATGCCGTGTCTTTAAGCAGTTCCTTTTCGTCAATCTCTAGACTCATATCGTGGTTTTTTTCGAGCTGTATGTTACTCCACGCAGACAGTGGGAGATTCCGAGATTCATTGCTCGTCAATGCACGCTCATCCTTTAAGCATTCGTTAAGAACTGGGTGGATGTCTCCGAGAATGGTGTGTTTGGGGTAGTATCCTTTCTTCCTGTAATAGTTTGTGACATAAGTCTTCCTAAACATCCACAAAGCTTTTTTAGCTATCTGGTCGTCGACATCTATCTGTTTCTTTGAGTTTTGACGTAGCTTCTCTATACCTTCTGCTGGGTGTAAAATAGGGTGTCCATAGTTTTTGCTGAGATTTGAGAAATATAGAGAGATCGGAACAGCTATATCTCTTTTGAAAGAGATTTCGTGACAGGACATCAGTCTGAGCAGTCTTCCAACGTCGTATTTGTTGAATTTTCCTTTCAACTCCTCCTCAATGGAATCTCTTAAGGTTTGGAATCCCAGGTCTTCAACAGTATCTGCAACTGTGAGCCCAATACAGTAAGCATCCCAGTTTTTCATGAGCTCAAAAAATCCATTTCTATACTTTCCTCTTAATTCGATTAGTACGGAGTGAAGAAGATCATAATGTCGGAGGAGGCCTTCAATTTTCTCATTCTTTTCCTTGATCATGACATGTTGTCGTATATAGAATCGGGTCTGGAGGTTGTCGAGGACACACATGATCAAGGTTGTTGGGAAAAGAAAGAACTTCCCGTTTGTTCGGATGATGGATAATTCCTTCTCTATCAGAAGGTCGTCAGAAACAACATGAAATTCTCCTAGAGTCTGCTCGATATTAGTTATTTGGCTTTTGATGTGTTCGACCCGGGTTTTGATCTTGTACAAGTCTTGTATTTTGCTGTCATAGAGGATTGATTTGTAGCTCTCTAATTCACTGTCTAAATTCATCTTGGTTCCGTAGTAGCTTTCGTCGTGTATCTTGGTGTTCTCTCTCTCTCCAACCAAACTCATGATGATTAATCAGAATTCTTTTATTATTATAACGAGAACATAATAATTTCCACGCTTCTGCATAGTTTGTGGATGAGACCTCGAGGTTTGAAATTATCCGAGCCGCATCACCTTCTAAATATGATATCAGGTAGTGAAACTTATGAATAGGTGACATACGCATATTATTATGAATTAAATTTTCGAAAGTGTCACGGAACTCTAACCAACGGAAATATGCTCCATCAAACTTAGCTATTTGAATCTGAGGAAGTTTTAAACCGATTTCTTGATCTGAACAGTAAGAATTGTCAAGAATCGAGATCCGTCTCTGCTCGCCTTCTGTTTTCTTTATAAATTTATCTAATAATGTTTTAGCAGTAGCGATATTAATAATAATATCGCGTTCGATATTGTCGCGCTCATCAATTTCGGTAGAAATGTTTTCAAAATTTAGAACCTCTATTTCATTTTGCAAGTCATCCACCCGAACCGACAATGCCTCGAACTTTGCAAGTTTAAGACTTAATTCCGTTAATTGAATACTATTTAATTCAATCATATTTGCTATACCATTTAAATAATTTTTGAATTTAGTAATTTGACCCTTGGCCGAAGATCGTTTCGTAATAAGGTCCTTTAAGCGACCTTTATCTATATTATCGTTAGGCATTGTGAGTTAAAAGTGACAGAGAAAAGAATTAAATTTAAAAGTAATAATTATTATTACTTTTGAATAATAATAAATAAATAAAGGCTCACGCTCCTCGCCTCGATGGCACCCGCCGACAGCACGCCAACCAGCTCTGGTCGCAGCACAACGCTGCCGCTGCTCAAAGCTGTGCCGCGAAGCAACGATAATATCTGGAAATATCGGCGAAATGGTCTAAGCACACGGCAAAATAAATTTAAATTTAAACACAGGGAATATAAAATATAAAATATTTTATTGCTACATACTTTTTACGATTTGTTTTTTTTTTTTTTAATTAACAAGATATATCTAATTTTAAATTGTTTTATAATTAATCAAAAATAAGTTTTAAAACAATTGATACCTTTATTAATACGTCAATTGTATAAAAGTAGCAATAATGCTTAACAATTTCACTTATAATTTTAAAGTCGGTAGATAGAAATTAAATGATGATGCAATATTTCTCTTTGTTTAAAACTTTAAATATAATCGAGCCACAATAAAAACTAGATTCAATAATCTTGTTTTGCACAAATGAATTGGAGATTCTTAACAATCGGATGAATATTTAGGATAGAATAAGGAATTGAGTGTTAGGAGTATTACAGGAGTATTAGGGAAAGTCACTTATCTTTTGCCGATATTGAGCAAACATTGTGATATTTTAGATATATCACTGCCCGCTTGCCAGGTATAGTTGTCCTCTCCCGGCAGCTCCTTCTACGAATCTTCTTCTAGCACGTGGTCCACTAAACGCTTGCCGTTTTGAAATATTTTGCAATTTTTTTCTCTTCTATCAATGTATTTTATATTTAATGTTTAGATATTCCCCTCATGGGCCACCATTTATGTATATTTCTTATACACTGGTGCCAAATTAAACGATTAATACTTTATAAATTGGTTTAATATAAGAGGTGTGTACAGCGTTGCGATCGGAGAGAGAATAGACAGTGACAATTGATAATTAATAAAGATCATCCTTTTAACAAGAAATATTATACGACGTTAGTTTACTAATAGTGTTGCCATTATAAAAGATCAAGAGCAAACAGAAAGGTAAAATTAATAAATTATACAAAATTAATTATGTAGGCGTTATGCGCCGCAACAGGCACCAACCAAAAACTACTGCGTAGAATTAATAGAACTTTTTCACACACAAGCCTTGCAATATCAGCTCTCAAGAAATATAATGGTTATGCGGCTTAAGTGTGAAGTTGGTTTCGAAAAAACGTAATTAAGTCATCTGACAGGAAAAAATGAAATTACTTTCCGAACAACCTATAATTTTTCAGGTCAACTGAAAGAGCATCAGATTCGAGACCACAACTCGTTCGAGGAGGTTCTACCTATGTGTTCTACTGAGCACTTGATTAACCTGCCCAAGGTATGTACGTCATATAACTCTACTGCTACTTGTATATTTTGCTACTTATTTATCTACAATTAACAAACTGCAATTATATAATAATATATTTTTTTCAGAACAAAGGAAAATCAAGGACGTCGCGTGTCACGCCATCAGCGACACGTATGAAGGTGTCACGTTGGTCATACAAGAGGGTCTTCTGTGTCGCGAGTGTGACACGCCGCTTGACAGTGACAAACACTTCCTGTTAGTATAACCACTTGATAAAACGACGCTGCAAACATTGAATACAATCAGATTTATGGAATGTCAGTAAAGTTTTTCCTTTATCGTGTTGAAAACACTCATTAACTTTTACAAAAAAATGTTATTTTAGTAGCTCTTATTATATTGTGATATCATCTTTTTAATATTTCTATATTTTCTAATGAAGAAAGATTAGATAAATAATATACGAAATGTTCAATACATACTAAAGTATAATTTTAATATTCTCAATATACAGCGGTCGCACGTCGCGCAGCAAGTGTCCATATGCTACATCATGTTACCGAGCGATGTTGAGACACAGTGGATATTGCGCCGGCTCACTTTCACTGGAGGCCGCTCCTAGACCCGCTCCCACGCTATACTGCGTCTGCGAATACTCTACAGACATAAGTCAGTTTACACTGGTTATAGGATGTCAATCAATATAATATATTTTCATTTTCTTTTATAAATTTTATAACTAACTATGTAACTGTTAGACCAGCAGCATATATAGATCAATATAAAATATACAATTAACCAATGACTATAGTAACTAATAAAATATTAAGATTTTAATCCCCAGACGGCATCGTTAAATTAAACAAGTGTGTAGTATTAACAGATTTTATTGTCACGAATCAAAAATTGTATACAGTTCGTAAATATTTGCAATTCTTTATGAAAAACTTTGTTGTTCTAATATAATATTACTCCAGGCACGGACATTCTATCTCATCTCCTCGTGACACAACACACAAGCGCGTACTTAACTGAGGAACTAGCACGAGCCAACACCGTCAGGGAAGAACCAAAACCTGCTGATGAAGTAGAGCCTGTGAGTATCTACTAGTGATTACTCATACTGTTTTGCGATTATATTATAATATATTATGACATTTGCCGCTCAATAAGCTTAAATAGTGCCTAGTTTTATAATATATTATCACATTGTTTATATATTTAATGTTTTAGATTGTGGAGAACATGCCGACTATCCCAGATTACGCTCCCCCATCGGTCATCAACACTCAGCTATCTCTAGATGATCTTGCCCCACCTTCAGTTTTACAACCTGATCAGGTGTGTACTATGTTTCATAGGGGAGAAATATAATTTATATTAAATAAACAAATAATTTATATTACATATTTTTTAAAGCATGATCAAGAACTCCTGAAAGACGCATATGACCACCCTCTGGCAACACCGAGACACGAAGAACCTCACAACACACTCGGAGACTTTGAACCCTTGCCTCAAGAGCCACCTCCCCAACCAGTCTTTGAACAACTGTAATCTTATATATTTAGATAGATCTTTATCAGATAATAGTCTTATGTCAAGTGATACAAATATATTGGTTCTAAATAAATGGAAATGAAATGTATGAAAGATTCCAGCTCACAAAGTAAGCAATATTTAGCTGTGTATGTCCTATGTAACATATCTAACTGTAAGAACATTGTCAGTTTTGAATTATTTAAGAAATATTATAAAGGAACTTACTGGAGATCAAAAACGGCAAGTAGAGTCATAATAATGGAATTTCAAAAGAGTATGTATCAATCACTATTAAATTAGATTTTGTTGAGGAAACAGAGAATAGGATAATTTAGTCAACAACATTTATTAATATTTTATATATTTCTGTCCATTATACAAATGTATTTACATTTTTAATATAGTAAGTAAAACATGTTTAGTGATGTTAAGTTATACTCAATAAAAAGTTACATTCATCTTAGCTTTCTTCTAATTTTTATAAAAGTTTATCACTTTATTGGTAACTCCATAATCTTCTATCTTGCTGTCATCTTTGTCAAGTGTTAAGCTGTCGTAATTTCAACTCTTACATATATAACTCCAAGATATCTTCATTCTGTTACCCATCCTTTGTTGATATAATTCAAAGTGTTTTTCAATATCTCTCTTTAGTTGCCTCACTGTTGAGTTTTGCGGAACCTACACAAACGTACACGATACTCATCGACTCTGTGCCTTGAAAGCTCGAACAGAAACAACTGTACTAAGATCACATAAATTATACAGATTCTTGAGACAATATCCATTGCAGCTGTTGAAAGTTCGATGTATTCTGTAGTTAATAAAAATAATTAATAATAGTTAAAAAAAACACGCTTTTATAGCAGACCGAACTAAAAGTTTAAAAATAATTTTTAATAACAAAGAGTTTATATTACCGTAGCAGAAGGTTAAACAATCAATCATAGTCAATTACTTCAAAATAAAATGATAATAAAATTTAAGTTAGGAACAGAATTATCACATTCAGAGTTAGAAGCGTGGGGTGCTTGACATATTAAAGGTAATAAATGCAATCATTGTATTGGCATCTATGAGTGGAGAGTTATGGAAAAGTAGTAAAATGTTTAAGGTAGCATTGAACACCAGGAAGTAACGCCGCCACAACTCATAACCTCTTACGAGGAGAACATAAAGCCTAGCGGGTGATGTTAGACTAAAGGATGAAATTGAAAGTAAAGCATAATACATATGTGTTTGTGGGTGCTTTTTATTATAGTAAAATCGACTGCGAAAGGTTTTGGGGAATTATGAGTTTATGACCATTTAAAGAAGCCTATTTGATACACAATTCTTACCACATCTACATATTTTATTCATCAGTAAAATGAAAACTGTTTTCTTTATTATAAATTCACTCTATGGTAGATATTTCTT